GTGATCGTGGAGAAGACAGTGCAGGACCTGATGAATCTGATGCACGACCTGAGCGCGTACTCGGACCAATTCCTGCACATGGTGTGCGTGAAGCTGCAGGAGTACAAGGACACCTGCACCCTGGCCTACAGGTACAATTCCTGCTCTTAGGATCGRTTTTTGTGCCAGGAGGAGATTCTGGAATCTTCTCTGATGGGGTGGTTGAAGGGAAAAAACAAATGGTGGAAAAACGGGAATGGGGAATGGGGAGAGTTTGGTGTTTGGGGTGGGTTTGTCTGATCAAGGGCGTGGTTGGGGTTTTTGGGAGTTTAGGAATTGTTGCAGTTCTTCCCTGAGGGTGGACAGGTCCTTGTAGGGACTGGTGGAGCTCCAGAAGAGCTGGGAATGTTCCCCTGGAGAAGGGAAAATTCCAAGGAGAGGTTCCAGAACATTCCAGGGGCTCCAGGAGAGCTGGAGAGGGACTGGGGCCAAGGGCTGCAGGGACAGGACACAGGGAATGGATCAGAGTGGAAAAGGGGAGATTGGGGTGGGATCTGGGGAATTGGGAATTCCTGCCTGGGAAGGAATTCCCAGAGAATTCCTGGATCCCTGGCAGTGTCCAAAGCCAGGCTGGACACTGGGATTGGAGCACCCTGGGACAGTGGGAGGTGTCTCTGCCATGGAATGGGGTGGCACTGGGTGACCTTTAAGGGTCAGGAGCATCCTGAGAGAGGGGTTTTGTGTAGGATTTGTTCCCTGGGTGTTCCTTCAGTGGGATCTGAGCAAACCTGGGTGAGGAGCACCCAAGAGATGGGTTTTGTGTGGGATTTGTTCCCTATGAGTTCCTTTAGGAGAATGTGACCAAACCTGGGTGATAATTATCCTGAGAGGGGTTTTGTGTAGGATTTGTCCTCTGGGTGTTTCTTTAGGGGAATTTGAGCAAACGTGGGTGAGGAGCATCTGAGAGAGGGATTTTGTGTAGAATTTGTTCCTCTGGTGTTCCTTCAGGAGGATCTGACCAAACGTGCGTGAGGAGCATCCAAGAAAGGCTTGGGTTTGAAGTGGGATTTGTTCTCTGGGTCTTCCTTTAGGGGAATCTGAGCAAATTTGGGTGAGGAGCATCCCCAAAGAGGGGTTTGAGGTGGGATTTGTCCTCTGGGTGTTCCTTTAGGGGAATGTGAGCAAATTTGGATGTGGAGCATCCAAGGGGTTTTCTGTAGGATTTGTTCCTTGGGTGTTCCTTGGGGGGATCTGAGCAAACCTGGATGAGGATTATCCTGAGAGAGACTCGGGTTTTGTGTGGGATTTGTTCCCCATAAGATCCTTTGGGACAATCTGAGCAAACCTGGGTGAGAATTATCCTGAGAGAGGAGTTTTGTTTGGGGTTTGTTCCTTGGATGTTCCTTCAGTGGGATCTGAGCAAACCTGGGTGAGGTTTATCCCCAGGGAGGGGTTTTGTGTAGGATTTTCTCCCTGGGTGTTCCTTCAGTGGGATCTGAGCAAATGTGGGTCAGGATCACCCCGAGAGAGGCTCCTCCCAGCAGGATTTGATCCGGAATTCTCCATGGAACAGCTCGGGAAGGACAAAATGCACAGCTGGGATTGTTCACGTCTGAGCTCCGGTTGGCTCGTGTTTGTCAGGGATTGTTAAAGAAAAAAAAATCAAATCTCATGGGGCTGGATGGGATTTATATGTAATTTATATATATATATATATATAAAAAAATAGAATTTGTACATACAATATATAATATATGCAATATATATTATATATATTACGTATTATATATATTATATATGTTATAGATAATATAAATATAAATATAAATATAAATACAAATATAAATATAAATATAAATATAAATATAAATACAAATACAACTATAACTACAAATACAAATATAAATATAAATACAAATATAAATATAAATATATTTATAAAAATAGCAGTTCCCATGTGTTAATTGATGACGAATTTCAGAAGTTCAGGTGAGGTGTCTTCAAGTTTTGGCGTTTTTGCCCAAATTCCAATTTGGGTCTGACACACGAACTGTTTACAGCTCCGATTTCTGACTCACTAAGGAGGGGCTGGGGCTGGAAATGAATAAAAATGGGAATAAAAAATGGGAATAAAAATGGGATAAAAATGGGAATAAAAATGGGAGATTGCCGCGTCCAGCTCCAGCACCGTCAGATTTCAGCTCCAGAGTTGAAAACCATTCTGAGTCTAAAACCTGAGGATCCTTTCCTCGCTGCCCAATGAGAGGGATTTTAGGGAATAACTCAGGATTGAACACAAAGCATCACTAAAAGCTGGATTTGCTCCTCTCTCCCACAGGAGCATCGTGCAGTCGGACGAGAAGCTGGTGATCAGCGCCTCGTGGGCCAAGGACGACGACATCAGCCGGCTGCTGAAATCGCTGCCCAACTGGAGCGCCATGGCCCAGCCCAARCAGCTGCGGCCCAAGAGAGAGGAGGAGGAGGATTTTATCCGGTAAAACATCGGGAACGGCGGGAGAGGGTTTGGAGGAGAGCAGAGACCCAAACTGGGAATGAACTTTGTGGTGGTTTCGTTGTTATCGTGACCCCGGGTGGGAGGAGAGCCATGGAATTGTTTTGGGAATGGGAAAGAGTTTGAAAATCATCAAATCCAACCATTGCCAGCWCTGCCAAGGCCACCCTGACTCTGTCCCCAAGTGCCACATCCACGGGGATTTGAAATCCCAAAAGGAATGGAGATTCCAACACTGCCCTGGGCAGCCTTTGGGGGAAGAAATTGTTCCTAAAGTCCAAATGGTTGAACTGGGCAGGAATTCCCAATTGGTTCTACAGGGCAGGAATTCCCAAAATTGATTTTACAGGGCAGGAATTCCCAAAACGGATTTTACAGGGCAGGAATTCCCAAAGCTGGTTGCACTGGGCATGAATTCCCAGAACTGGTTGTACTGGGCAGGAATTCCCAAAATTGGTGGTGCTGGGCAGGAATTCCCAAAGCTGATTGTACTGAGCTGGAATTCCAAACTGGTTATACTGGGCAGGAATTCCCAAAGCTGATGGTACTTGGCGGAATAGTGTTGTTTAAGGAAATCCTGAAATCTGAATGGCGGATTTCCAGGGAAAAGTGGAAAAGGGTTATTTATGGAAATCCCAGGGACTGGAAGAGCTGATTTCCAGGAAAAGATGGAAAATGGAAATCCCGGGGATTGGAATATCTGATTTCCAGGGAAAGATGGGAAAGTGTTATTTATGGAAATCCCGAGAATGGAATATTTGATTTCCAGGGAAAGGTAAAAAAGTGTGGTTTATGGAAATCCCAAAATTTGAATGACAGATTTCCAGGAATTATGGAAAAGTGTTATTTATGGAAATCCCGAGATTAGAATGGCTGATTTCCATGGAGAGATGGAAAATGGAAATCCCAGGGATTAAAATAGTTGATTTCCAGGAAAAGATGAAAAATGTGATTTATGGGATTCCCAGGGACTGGAATATCTGATTTCCAGGGAAAGCTGGAAAATGTGATTAATGGAAATCCCAGGGATTGGAAGAGCTGATTTCCAGGGAAAGATGGGAAATGTTATTTGTGGAAATCCCAGGGAAATCCCACGGGATTCCAAGGTGTGAATTCCAAATGGGGTGGGGAGGGATGGGAGTCTGTTGGGATGGAGTTTGGAACTGTGAGGAGTGAGGTGAAATTCTGGGATTATAAACTCAGGAATGATGGGAAAAAAAAAATTCCCCTGGAATTCCTCCCATCCCTGGGATCATCCCACAAGGGTTGGTTTGACCTTCCCCGAGGTGTGACTGCCTCTCCTCATGCCCTCCCCCAATTCCACCATCCTGAGGGATTGTCACGATCCGCTTAACTCAAGCGGGGGTCGTGAGGGTTCGTTATCAGAATCTCAGAGTGCAAAAGAAAACGAGGGGCAAATATATATGCTTTAAATAATGAAGAATAATTTATCTGGATATTTTGCAATAGAGGAGGGTGAGAGAGAGAGAAAGAGAGAGAAAGAGAGAGAGAAAGAGAGAGAGAGAGGGTGGGGTTATAGCTACCAACGGCTCCGACGAATCCTCCGAGGTTCCATAGGGTTCGCCAGCGTCCGTCGGGAGAGATCTCCATCGGGGTCTTCTCGGGGAGACTTTTTATAGTCTTTCTGAAAGCTGCAAACCAGGAGGGGGTTGCGAAGCATGGAAACCTGATGGAAACTTGTGAAGCATGGAGAGGATCGGTCGAGCGGTGGGGAAAGAATGTTCTTTAAACAGCGCAGCCATCCATGGTGGACACGCTGTACCTTCCAGCCTAGGAGCTGGAAATCAGGCAGTCACCCCACCTTGATTCCCTCGGGCTTCTCCCTTTTGGGGTGTTCAGTGGATGATGGTGAGACAGTCAAGGATCTTTAGTACGGTCTCTTACAGGGGGCTTTGCTTTCCCTTCCAGGGCCGCTTTCGGCAAAGAATCCGAGGTTCTGATCGGCAATTTGGGCGACAAACTGATCCCACACCAGGAGATCCTGCGCGACGTCAGCGACCTCAAGGCCTTGGCCAACCTGCACGAGAGCCTGGAGTGGCTGGCGGGGCGAACCAAAGCTGCCCTGTCCAGCCTGGCCACGGCCCCAAGTGAGCGCCGCCCCCAGGAAACTGAGCTTGGGATTGGGGGATGGAATTATGGGATTGCGGCGGGAATCGGCCCCGTGGGGTGCCTTGAACGGGCGGTGTGAATAATGACACGGTTAAGGGGGTAAAAAGGGTTTTACCTCGGTGTTGTCTTGAGCGGGCAGTTTTTAATAATGACATGTTTAAGGGGGTAAAAACGGGTTTTACCTCAGTGTTGCCTTGAATGGTCGGTTTTTAATAATGACACAGACACTGTTAAGGGGATGAAAATGGGTTTTACCTCGGTGTTGCCTTGAACAGCCAGTTTTGAATAATGACATGTTTAAGGGGGTAAAAACGGATTTTACCTCGGTGTTGTCTTGAATGGTCAGTTTTAATAATGACATAGACACAGTTAAGGGGTAAAAACAGGTTTTACCTCGGTGTTGTCTTGAATGGTCAGTTTTGATAATAACACAGACACTGTTAAGGGGATAAAAAGGGTTTTACCTCAGTGTTGTCTTGAATGGTCAGTTTTAATAATGACACAGACACGGTTAAGGGGATAAAAAGGGTTTTACCTCGGGATTTGGGATCCCAGGTGCACAACTTGATGGCAAAACGCCCACCTGTGTATAGCACGGGTACAAGTTTTATAGATTTCAGGAATTAGCGTATCTAGGATTGTCCAGTAAGATACAAGTTTTATAAATTTCAGGAATTAGCATTTTTATCTAGGATTGTCCAATAAGATACATGTTTTATAGATTTCAGGAATTAGCACATCTGTCTAGGATTCCCCAATAATATACCAGTTTTATAGATTTCAGGAATTAGCATATCTATTTAGGGTTCCCCAATAAGGTGCAAAGGAATTTTGGGATTTAGCGCCTCTGGTTGGGGTGGAATGTGGGATAACACCTGCTCCTGTAAAACACATGGGGTGAAAATTATGGGGTTGGATCGGAATAAAACCCCAGAAGGATTTTCCAGGAGCAGGAAGGATTTTCAGCGTGAAGGAGATGATCCATGAGCAGCTCAGTGCTGTTCCCGGTGGTTTCATTGCTTTTTTTCTGCTCAAAAAGTGTCATTTGGGAACAAAAACTTCCCGTGAAGGGATGGGTTGGGGTCACTCTGTGAGCAGAAAGGACCTTGGGGACACTTTGGGTCTTGGCAGAGTGGGATAAACTCTGGGATCCCACAGCCATGGGAATTCTCATCAATTTTTGATGAACAATTTTTAGTTTCATATTTTTTGGGGTTGGTAAAACCCCTCAGATCCAGGGAATTCCACCCAGTGCTGGAACACTTTGCTCCTGGATCCCTCTGGAATTAGGGACGGGAGATTCTGGGAATCCCCAGATCCGGGATGGGAGCACACGGGAGGCTCCGAGGATGTCCCAAATGTCACTTTTTTGTGTCCACAGCCACGTCCCCAGGACAGGAGAGCCACAGCAGCTTGGAGCAGCTCCCAGCGTCGGAACAGATCCTACAGAGCCTCAGTGAGCTGGGCAGGTCCTTCCAGGAGATGGCGGAACGCTGCCTGTTGGTGCTGCACCTGGAAGTCAGGTAAAACCCCAAAAGTCAGGTAAAACCCCTGAAAGTTAGGGAAAAACCCCAAAAGTTAGGTAAAAACCCCGAAAGTTAGGGAAAAACCCAGTAAAAACCCCGAAAGTCAGGTAAAAACCCAGTAAAAACCCCAAAAGTCAGGTAAAAACCCCAAAAGTTAGGGGAAAACACCAAAAGTTAGGGAAAAACCCCAGAAGTTAGGGAAAAATCCCGAAAGTTACGGAAAAACCCAGTAAAAACCCCAAAAGTTTGGGGAAAACCCCGAAAGTTAGGGAAAACCCCCAGAAGTTAGGGAAAAACCCCAAAAGGTAGGGAAAAATCCCAGAAGTTAGGGGAAAACCCCGAAAGTTAGGGAAAAACCCCAAAAATTAGGGAAAACCTCTGAAAGTTAGGGGAAAACCCCGAAAGTTAGGGAAAAACCCGGTAAAAACCTGGAAGGTCAGGTAAAAACACGGAAAGTCAGGGAAAAACCCCGAAAGTTAGGGAAAAACCCCGAAAGTTAGGGAAAAACCCCAGAAGTTAGGGAAAAAACCCGAAAGTCAGGTAAAAACCGGGTAAAACCCCAAAAGTCAGGTAAAGACCCTGAAAGTCAGTTAAAAACCCTGAAGGTTAGGGAAAAATCCCAAAGGTCTGGTAAAAACCTTGAAAGTCAGGTAAAAACCCTGAAAGTCAGGGAAAACCCTCGGAAGTCAGGGAAAAACCCCAAAAGTTAGGGAAAAACCCCGAAAATTAGGGAAAACCAGAAAGTCAGATAAAAACCCCGAAAGTCAGGTAAAAACCGAGAAAGTCAGGTAAAAACCCGGAAAGTCAGGTAAAAACCTGGAAAGTCAGGTAAAAACCTGGAAAATCAGGTAAAAACCCCAAAAGTAAGGTAAAAACCTGAAAAAGTCAGGTAAAAACCCCGAAAGTTAGGTAAAAACCCGAAAAGTCGGGTAAAAACCCGGAAAGTCGGGGAAAAACCCTGAAAAGTCAGGTAAAAACCTGGAAAATCAGGTAAAAACCTGGAAAGTCAGGTAAAAACCTGGGAAGTCCGGTAAAAACCCAGAAAGTTAGGGAAAAACCCCAAAAGTCAGGTAAAAACCCAAAAAAGTCAGGTAAAAACCCCGAAAGTCTGGTAAAAACCTTGAATTTCAGATAAAAACCTGGAAAGTCACGTAAGAACCCGGAAAATCAGGTAAAAACCCGGAAAGTGTGGTAAAAACCCAGAAAGTCAGGTAAAAACCCCAAAAGTCAGCTAAAACCCCACAAAGTCAGGCATCAATATTCTTCCAAAAGATTGCAGTGATACCTTCATGATTCTAACAGGTGTCTCCACATTTTTATATTATTTTTTTTGATTACAAAGAGGAGCTTCTCCTCCCGCTTTCAAACAATAATTGGGAACCAGCTGGAATTTTTTCCAAGGGCTGGATAATTTTACGAATTCTCTGACTCCTCATGCAAAGATCAAAGACATCCAATCATT